CTTTCTCTATTTACCAATGAATGTCGATACTTTCATCCATCTGCATTCCTTTTCAGTCAATATGCTGCTATCGATTGTGATAAATGTTCCCATTACAAATCTTGGCCCACTATTTTCGCTGATTTGGCTCCATTGAAACAGTTAACTATAGGTCACACCATTCATATTGACCATGTGGAATTAAGATTTGGTTCAGGTGATCATAAATACTTGCTCACAGTTGCTGAAGCGTCTACTGGTTATTTGTTTACTTTTCCTGTTATGAGAATATCAATGGATCATACTGTGAATTGCATTTTGTTGGTCATGCAATTTTTTCCAAATTTGACTACTATTGTTGCTGATAATCATTCGGTGTTTTCTTCAGCCATTTGGAAGAAGTTATTAGCTGGTTATGAAGTGAAAGTTGTTCATAGTGCGTCATATTACCCTCGCTCAAATGGTTTGATCGAGATCCGCAACAAGCTGTTCAAATCTATTCTCAAAGATTTAAGTTACAAGAAGGTTTTAAGTGATATTAGTCACAATCAATTTACATCATGGTCCAAGACTTGTCTTTTAGCTACTATGTTGTTCAATATGAGACCTAATTCATTCGGATACTCACCCTTCTTTTTATTGTTTGGACACAAGGCGGATTCTACACATTTGCAACTTCATAAGATCACTCAAGAATCTCCAACATTATCCAGTCCACAATTTGGGATCACTATCTCACCTCCTCCTAATGCTGCTGCTATTCCAGCTGTTTCTGCTGCTCAACAACAGTTAAATGTCATACAAGAAAAGGAATTTTTTGATGCTCGTGTTCACCAAATTGAAAGCCATATCAAACATCGTGATGCCAATTGGTCCTTGCGTCACAAACAACGTGTTTTACGTAAAGCTTTAACTGATAGGTATTCCAACAAGTTTGAATATGCTCTAGGTGAATTAGTTATGGTTAAAAATGTCAAAAAAACCAAATTTGATGTTTTTAGTACTGGTCCTTATTTGATTTCCAAAGTTTTAGGTAAACATACTTATGAAATTAGTACATTATCCCATCGAGTTTTAGGTACTTATGATGTTAATAGGTTATTTCCTGCTTATCAAGTCCTTGGTTCACCAATTCGGTCTTATTCTGATATCTCCAAACAAATTTTTTTAGCTGAAAAACAATTTGTGGCCCACAATCTGCAGCCAGGTCAAGATGATTAATGCTTTTGCTTATTGTCTTGTTTTATTTTCTTTATGCTTTTACTCATTCTAGGTCCTGTTGCTTTAAATCCATTCATTAGATGCTTTTTCAGGTTCCTTTTCATTCTCCATTCTACTCATTTTTATTATTTTGCTCTCCACTTTGGTACATACCCATCCATTTCATTTTGTTTTTACCTGATCATCAACTCCTTCATTTGCTTTCACGGTTTTCTTATCTCAAATACCGGGGTATTGTTGATTGATCACTAAATTACCATTTCAATTGAATTAGGCTTAGGTAATCATCATAGTTTAGCTACATGTTCATTATGACCACAACTAGATCAGCTATGTGAAATTAGAGTACCAAAGCTGGACAACTTGAAGAATCTCATATATTCAGAGATTCGCACTTTATTTATATAGTTCAACCTTTTAATAGAACTCAAGCTTATATTACACTATTTTTTATTAGATCTCATTCTTATATCATTCTTATCTACGTATAGACATCTCAACTATAGATATTGAATTTGACATACTAAGACCTCTCATAGTCAAAGTTGTCAAGTAAAGAGTTTACCCTAATTAACTCTTTACATTATAAGGTCTAATAAACTTAGTGAATATATAACACATGGCACCGTTTGAAGTGGCAGAAACGCTATAGGCTAGGGAATGCGGTAGGGGCACTGCAGGCACATAGGTAATTGGCAGTCTGTTGTTAGAGAGAAAAAAAAGGATATACAATTAATGTGGTTATCTCAAGCTGTTTGAATACTCAAGGGACAGGAACAGACCATGAAGAGTGTGCAATTGCCCTTTGAAAATGAAGACGGTGATGTTCAACTAAATGAGAAACTAGAACTTGTGGGGAGAAGAAAAACTAGAAGTTTTAAATCCATCTATCTTCCTCTATTGATAATAGGTGTTTTTTCATTATCCCTTTTTTCATTCCAAAGATTTCAATCTCTTGAGAAGTCTCTGAATACACAGTCAGGTGAATTCCCAAAAGGTGCTAAAGAAACTTTTGAAATCCAATTACCTATTTTATATGAAAACTTGGTTCATGAACAACATTTACTTGATTATTCATTTGGTAATTCATGGGGTATACCTGCTAAAACTTCTTTCAAACCTGAGATTGAACCTTCAAAATTCAATAGAGTTGTTCTTACTTTGAACACAACAGTGGATGGTGTTCAATATGATAGATTAGCTCATGTTTTCATTGATGATTTCCCAGTGTGGAGAACTTCAACTGCTGAGCCAGGTAATGATTTAATTTTTTCATCATCAAGTAAAGATGTTTCAAAATATCTATCACTTTTCCAGAAGGATGAAGTCGACTTAACTTTCCAATTGGATAATTTAGTTAGGGGAAGATTGAATGGTGCTTTCAACACAACTTTATCATTAAAATATTATTTTGAAGATGATGAAATCTTGGATGAGGGACCATCTGCATATTTCCAAGTTTCAAATAAACCTGCTCAAAAAGTTACAAAACTATATAAGCCATACCCAAAGAAAACTCCATTGTTGTACTATCCAAGTGATAAATTAGAATTCACAGTACCAGTAATTGAACAAAACACAACTAGTTTAAAATTGGAATTATATATATCTGGTAATGCAGCTGAAGAATTTTGGTATTCAAATGTTTTGGACAAATATAAAGACAAATTTATAAACCATGGTCATGCATTATTAGGTCGTGGTCCTGTTCGTGTTGTGAACATTTATTTAGATGATGTCAAGATCACTTCATTAGCACCTGAACCTGTCATTTTCTCCGGAGGTATATCACCAGCATTATGGAAACCAATCATCGGTGTTAATGCATTTGATATAAAAGCTTTAGAAATCGATTTAACTGCTTATTTACCAAATTTATGGAAAACTGGAGGGAAACTAAAAATTGAAGTAACAAATGGTGAAAAAGATGATGGTAAAGTTGCTCAAAATTGGATTGCCGCAGCAAATTTATTACATTGGGAATCTGCAGAAATTGAATCAAGTTTTGGTGAAGTGGAAACTTTTGATAATAAAACAAGTTATAAATTTTTTGCTATTGAAACTTCACCAGATAATTTATTCCAAACTGTTGTTTCAAATCATACAGCTGAAATTTACTCCAATTTAACTTTTAATTTATACAATGGCTCTCAAATCCCAGTTAAATTACACACAATATCTGGTGCAGGCTTTGCTAACTTCCAAACTTATGCTAAATATGGTGATTATCAATTCTTGAGTGCTGTGAATACAAATAATTATCAAACTAAAATTTACTATCAAGATGAATTATTAACACAATTGGATAGAACAAAAGTTTTCCCAGTTGTTATAAGTATCTTAACTGAACCTGTTGTTGGTTATGATATCACTTATGAAGCTAATATAACTCATGTTTATCAATCAAATATTAAAATTGATGATGAATTGGTTTATAAAGTGAAATCTGTTCAAAATGGAACATCCTTATTCACATTATCACCAAACGGTAATAGTGGGTTTGGTAGTACTGATCAAAAATTTAGTGCTAAATTAACCGCACCATATCCAGAATTGAAGATTAAAGAAGTTGCCAAAGCTATCAATGGCTCAGTTGTGGAGAGAACACATCTTGAAAGTGTTTCAGATCATGAAGATGTTGGAGAAATAACTGTTGATGTCCTTGAGTTCCAACCAATTGTTAAAGAGCTTAATAAATTGGTTTCTAATGGTGATTTATCTTACGAAATTGCCTTTGATTTAGTTTTGAAGATGTTTTCACAGTATCAACTACTTCAAACAATGGATCGTCCAATTAGAAGTGCTGAGGAAACTTATAATGGGCCTGTCCTTCCAAATATCTGTGCTAGAGTTGGATCTAGGATCAAGCCTTATTGAGAATGTTTTTGAAGGTAATCTTTTTTTCTTGTATAACTAGAAGTATTGTTGTTGTATGCTCCATGCTGTAGTCGTGAAATTTTCTCCGCGAATCAACTAGGTGAAAAAAAAAAATCTATACAGAAGTACTTTAAGCATTCGACTATTAGACGATAGAAACACACACCATCAAACATCAAATATGCAATTAAGCAGAATATGTACAAGAAATGGTGGCCAACTCCAAAGAAGGTGCTACTCAAGCAAGAAAGACTTACATCTATCACTAGCAGAAAAGTTGAGAAAAGCTACAAATAGACAATCTAGAAATGAAGAAGATACACCAAAATATCCATCTACTAGAATGAATAAACCACTGGGAAGTCTATTAAACAAGCCAATAAATATTGAATCTTTAAGATCAGCTTCAAAAACTTCCGAACCTTCAAATGGTATTCCAAGAAGCAGAGATTCACTATACCAAAGAAATCAAAACGGACCAAGAAGACCACCATTCAATAATGATGGGTTTGATCCAAGAAGACCATCGTTTAAAAGGGATAATAACAGAGCTCCAACAGGAAGAGGTTCAGGAGAGAGAACAAGTGGTAACCCATTTTACAAAAGAGGTCCACCACCTCCTCCACAGATTGAAATTCCAACTTGGGAATATGGTACTGATTTAGAAAAAGAATACATGAATGAAGTTTTCAAAAACATTTATGAGATCAATAAAGAAGGTCTGGTTATTTTCATCAACCAAGATGGTAAACTTGAGAATGGTACAATCTTAAACTATATTGATTCAGTTCCTACTGATTCTGTGCTGGGTGTTGCAGATATTCAAGAACAAGGAATTGAAAAAGTTGCATTAGTTAAAATTTATGAAAGACGTGGTAAATTAAAAGAATTCTCTGATAAAAAAGCTGATGAGATTACAAAACAATTTGGTAGAACAAGAAAGAATAAAAGAGATGCAAGTTTAAAGAATATTAAAGTTTCTTGGGAGATTTCTCAAAGTGATTTGGATAATCAAAAAGCAAGTGAAATATTGACTCAGTTGAAAAAAGGCTTCAAATTGCTGCTAGTTGTTGGTGAGAAGAGAGTTATTGGGCGTAAGACTTTCTTTAACAAACTTCATAGACGTGAAGAAGAAGAAGAAGAACAGGAACAGGGACAGGAGGAAGAAGAAGAAATTGAAAATTATGAAGAAGAGAAGGAAGTATTTGAAGATTTGAATCCTTATGAAGAATTGAGAAGAACAAAAGTTTTGGATCAAGTGAAGGCAATGCTTGAAGGAAATGCCACATATACAATCAAAGGTGATATTAGATCAAGAGTCTTGATAAGTGCAGAACCTACTGGTAAAACAGAAGGTACAAAAGAGGAGGTTGTTGATGAAAAAAAGAAACTGAAGGAACAAAAAAAATTGGAAAGACAAATGAAAGAAAAGCTTCGTCAAGAAAAGAAAAAGGCAAAAATGGAAAGTAAAAAGAGTAAAGTTAGCCATATTTTAGAAGCTCAACAAAATGATGAATGAATGACATATAATATTCCCCCAAGAAACTGTACATAGTTTGAAAAAATAATTAGATGTTGTATATTATAACATTTCCTGTAAGCTTATTATTGTCGTGGACTGGAGGTTGAAACCCATAATTAGGTGAACCAACAATGAGTTTTCCCTGATCAGTCGAAACTGCAAGGGCTTCACCAAATCCAGTGTATTCATCAGCTTGGTTTTGAAATGCAATACTTCTAACAATAACATGTTCCTTGTGGGAGTGCAAAATCTCACTTAATGATATACGGAATATTGCGCCGGATGTCAAATACCCTGGTGCTGAGATGTAAAGTTTTCCATTTGAAACCAAGGCAGCAAATCCAAACTTTGAAAGCATATGTTTTCTTGAGATGTCAAGGGTGAGTTTAGTTAAAAACTTGATATCACTGTTTACTAAAGTGTAGACAAATACTGCTCCACAACCGATACACGAACCTTCAGTGTACCTGTGAGCACTCACAATTAGCAATTCCACACCTTCGATCTCAACATTCATTATATAATTAGACCCAAATCTATGTGATTCCTTTGAAGTTTGCCTTGCTATTGGAAGGCCATCAATTTTATCCTTAAAAATAGTATGTTTAACTTCACCACTAGACCTGGAAAGGGCAAAAACAATACCTAATCCATTTGAGCTTGTGAAAATGTAATCCTTATTAACAGATGTTTGTGCACCAAATTGTTCATATCCTTCCTTCAATTGGTACAGCTTTGGAAGGTGTATCTCCTGAAATTGTATAGAATGGATATCAATCTCATGACCAAAACGTGAGTTCATCAATATCAAGGATAAAAGTTTACCTGATAAGATCTGAATAGTCCCTCTTTGTGGAACGCGTGAATCGTCACTCAATGGAGAGCCAACAACAATATCAGGAATGGAATCACCATCAAAGTCAAAAATTTCGATTGATATGGCCTCTTGTTTCCTCCCATTAGAACCATAATCACTTCTTGCAGTAAAATCAGATATGGTAACTAATTTAATATTTCCCGAATATAAATAAATGTTTGATGTGCCTGGTTCTGTAACAATGATGAAGTCTTGCCCAAGTAATTTATAACTCGTAACAGCAGACCCGAACCGTTTTGGTAGATGAAAGTCAACCCTAGACGAGCCATGCAAAACCATTGTTGTCCCCATTTTATTCGCTTCAATTTCACTTAAGGGAATAACATAGACTGAGCCAACTTGATCCTCATTTGGGGCCCCAACAGCTAGTGCCAACTCATTATTGATGAAATTCCCAATGCTAATTGAAGAACCAAAATTTGACAACGGAGTAAATGGAGTGAGGTATGTGCCATCACGTACTTGAATTTCATTCATTGAGGTGGCGGATGGGCTTATAATTGCTCCACATAAAGACCACGGGTCCGTTGAAGCTCCATACTTGAACCATAAACCAAGGTTTGGCAAACACTTAACAATAGAGCTTGAAATCTCTTGTAGCCCTCCAAGGTAATAGTTTTCCAAAATGTCATCAAGTAAAGGAGAAGATTGTGCGTAAACAGGGCCAACGCGATTCAGGACTGTCTTCTCAGCAAGTAATGCGGCCTGTCCGCTCGACACACAATACTTTACCATCGTAGCTGACATTGGGATACCAACTCTCTCAAAAATATTGAGGACATCATTCATTGGATATTTCCACTGGGTGTTTAATAAGGAATAATCATGAAGTTTGAGTAAATGAAGAAAATCACCACCCGTATCTAAAAATGAATGGGCATCATTGATGTCTTGATCAAAATCCATAACCGCCAACATCTTCAACAACCCCTGTTCAAGCCGTATTGAATGCCATGAAGAATCTGTAACTTGATGAGTGAAAATACCATATAAGAACGCCTTGAGTTTTCTTTGATCGCTGTTGGAATTATCACTGTATTGATCATTGTAATATTCAACCCCATGAGCAAGGAACGGAGGCCAATGTGCATATTCACTGGCATTAGGGTTGTTCCCACAATTGTAGAAAGCATCTGGGAAGAAGGCACCAGCTAACACATATTCTGGAAAATCCTTGATGTCGTCAGGTAAGAATTGGAAAACTCTTGAAGCCAAACTCAGATGGACACTTGGTTTGTTAGCTCAATACTCAACCATAGAAAAAGTGTATACGAACGCTGCACCTGCTGATAAAACCTGTGTTGGAAAACAGATCAATGCTATCAGAGCCCTTAGATACTTGACAGGAAACTTCATCTATTTTATCATCCGCAAAGTTTCATAGTTATCACCAAAGAGATCACGTTTAAAACAGAACTAAGGATCAAGTACCACCTTGAACATTGCCTTGATCAGTTTAAAGTAATATAGATCCGACTGGTTTCCTCGGAATGTGCCAGGGCGTATAAGCAAAAACAAAAACATACACTACAAAGTTAAAGTCTTACAGATAAAGATCTAAGGAGCTATTAGTTTATTCAACTGTGTCTGGCTAATATGGTGGAACCACTTCTCCCTCAGTATGTATTTGGATGTGTCATCTGTCAGGGATAACTGAACTAATTAATAATTTAGTGTCACCATTCTGGTTTGTGGAATCGGGAGTCTGGTTTCTATAATTATTTCAACCATTGGGATATACCTACAATTCAAAAACTATAGAAAGCCATATGAACAGAGGTTGATTGTTAGAATTCAGCTGATGGTCCCTCTATATGCTGTTACTTGTTTCATATCACTCCGATGGTTCCCAGTATCAAAATTTGTTGAACCAATAAGGGAAATTTATGAAGCATTCGTCATATACACATTCTTTTCATTGTTGACACATTTGTTAGGCGGCGAGAGAAAAATTGTCGTCATGACATCTGGAAGACAACCTATAAAGCACCCATGGCCATTCAGCACAGTATTACCTGATATTGATATTTCAGATCCATTCACTTTACTCTCTATAAAAAGAGGAATTTTACAATATGTTTGGCTGAAACCAATCATTTGTATTTTAACTGCTATTACAGAAACATTTGGACTCTACAATTCAGAATCCAATAGTTTTTTTAATCCATACTTCATTATCAATTTCATTTACAACGTTAGTGTTTCAGTGTCGTTATACGATCTAGCTTTATTTTGGAAGTGTTTATATGGTGATTTGAGACCATTCAATCCTTGGGGTAAATTTTTATGTGTGAAGCTTATTATTTTTGCAAGTTATTGGCAAGGTGTTTTTTTAGCTATACTCAGTTGGTTTGGCATATTGAAAAATGATCAATCTGATTCTAATAACACTTTAGGTTTTGCTATACAAAATGCCTTGATGTGTATTGAGTTGATTGGCTTTGCAATTGGACACTGGCATTCATTTTCATACACTGAGTATGACATGAAAACATTACCAGGGTGTGCAAGATTTGAGATATTGGCAGCCATAAGAGATACATTTGGTATTGGGGATTTGGTTTATGACTTTAAAGCCACTCTTTCTGGAGAGTCTTATGACTACAGGCAATTTGACTCTGTGGAAGCATTAATTGCGCATCCTTCTTCGAGATCTAGAATGGCTAGGTTCAATGAAGGTTTAAGATATACTGATTCGGGGAAACAAAAATATTGGCTCCCCAATACAAAAAATGGTACAACGGTTGGTGGTATGTCTGCTCACCTGAAAACCCCATTGTTATCAAAAAACAGGTCCAACTCAATAACATCATCGCATGCTTCAATAAGGGGATTGTATCCTAACTCGGTGTTGACGGTTGACTCAAAGAATGAGGAAGAGCATCCAGTTGCATCAATTTACAACTACAATACTATCGAAGAAACAGATGAAGATCAAGATAATGAGTTTTTGGAGGATGAACAATTGTTTGCAGATGCTAAGGCAAACTGTCCCTTTGGGGATAAAAATTATCCAGTGGTTTATGATAAGGAAGCATATACTTATTCACCAGCTTTACAACGTTTGAGGGAGGAAGCAATGGCTAGGCAAAGTATAGAAAGCACACGGTCGTATTAATTGAACGTATATAATGATATTCATGATGACTTTAATATTTTTTAAGCTTGTAAGTAAAAATTAACAACTTGGAGTGTATATAGCTTAATCGTCCAGAACCAGTGACTGACTGAATCCTGATATTCGCCAAATATGCTCGCGCTCTTTGAATGGCGCTTAAAGCCGTTGCTTATATAATAATTTTCACTTTGACACAAAACAAGCTCAAAACTAAAAGTGAGTATATTTGTTGCTTTCGATTCATTGACTTTCGTGATCAGCTTGGTAGTTTGCAGAGTAGAGCGCCATTTTCTTTGAGCTCATCAAACATCAAATATCAAATTAATCCTACCATCGACTCCAATACGTTCGGCAACTGCACGTCAACTAGAAGTGTTTCTTTGTTCATCGTCCTCTAAAATGTTCACCAAAATCAGTGGAAGGAAGAAATATATTTGGAGTGCAAGTTTGTTACCAAGTACCGACTTCAATCAACGATGGTCTTCAAGTGGAAGTAAAGCACTAAAAACACTTTCAAGTAACAAGTTGGTCAGTTCATTTTCTTCAAAAACTAATACAATACATTCCAAATATTTGTTTACTAAAAGTGAAAAGGGATACATTTCACAGTCAGATAAATATTCAACTATCAATTCCCAAACAAGCGAGCTGCCTCCGAAACTAAATTATGATGATTATTTGCACAGTGATGAAAAACCAACGTTTGAAGGTTTGGCAGAATTCATCAACAAATACATCATTAGTCGCATCATTAAAGATGAATCTTTCAGTGAAGCAGCAACAAGTATTGCAGCCAGAATTTTTATGAGCTCTCCATCTCCCACAAGAAGTGGCTGGAAAAGATTTCCATATCACAATCAAAACCAGAAGCTGCTATCAATAGAAGAAGGTACAAAATTTAGAAAAATATCAGAAGTAGAGATACTAAATCAGTTTGCAGACAAAAGCAATATTAAAGACGGTATTGCAAAAGTTTTTAATGACTTGCAACAATATTATTTCAAAAAAGCTCAAGATGATTCCAATTCCCATGAAAAACGCATAATTAATATTTTTGATATGGTTGACAGTATGAGAAAATTACCAACAGCACTCCGTGAACCAGCTAATAAACAGGAGATACAAAGTTTGTCCCTATCCTATGTTATTCATCCACTTGTTCAAGTGATAAATGATGTTTATGACTCAAAACTTGTTGTATTACAACAGAGGTATGTTTCCGGAAGGAAGAGTCCTGATGTTATCATACAAGACGAAGATAGCAAAGCATTTTCAGTCTTAGAATTTGAAAACAATTTACCAAAAGCAGAAAATATAAAGAGTATGAAAAGTGCAGAACTATTGGACCTTCAAGGGTTCAAACAAACTCTTTACTCAATAGCTATGAGTAACACAAATATGGGGGTTTTAAGCTCTTTTGGTACAACGTTAATTATTGAAGTTGACTGGAAAAAAAGTTGTTTTGATGGAACTGATACTTGTAAGTTGGCATTGGAATTATTCATTATTGATCATAATGAACCACTCACAACATTGAAATCAACCATAATGCACTTTTTGACTAAACTTTTGGTTCTTTCAACTAGCGAGGAAAAAGATAAGATAATGAAGACATCTTTGGAATCAAGAACAAAAATGATTATCAATTGTGAAGAAACCCAACAGAAACACAGCCAACAACTCAGAAAATCTTTTCTAAGACAATATCAGAATGACAGTAGATATTTGAACAAAGAAGTCATTGATGTTAGACTTGACCTCCAAGATGATAAATCTTCCACAGACTTAAAAAATGTGTTCAGAGACATGACGGAGAAAGCGAAATATATTATTTTGAAAAAGAAACATTTCTTAGCAAATAATATAGTTGATGCTGTTGATGATGATGAAGAAGTTGTAGTGAAATGGTATGAGCCAATAACACATGAGTTAACTGACAATCCACTGCTCAATCAAGAGCTACTAGAACAAGATTATCTTGATGAAATGTATGAGTTGAAGAAGCTGGAGCGAATTGAAAACAGCAAGAATTTAGAGCTGAGCAAATTGAGATTATTCAAAAATGGCTTTATGATCATTAAAGATCAATATTCTAACATAGTTGCCATTGGTAATTATTTAGCCATGGCTAACAAAAATCCCAAAACAAATAAGAATGAAATAACTAAAAGATTACCTATTCTGACCAAATCAGATATTTTGAGTGAAGCAATGAATAGGTTGGAGTGCCTGCATTCCAATGGGTTTGCATTGAACCAAAATGTTGATCAAAGAGTTGTTGTAAATAACGGTGACGTTTCAATTTTAGCCACAACTAAATATGGGGATGAAGTTCCAGATCGGATCAAGGATTTGGACACAAAAACTCTGGGTCAAATAGTCGCTAGTGGGAGAATCATTCAGCTATGATGTATAAACAATATTTTTCAAACAAGATTGGATGTATATTTTGATTGTTTTCCATCTGTATTGAGCCAAGTGGTAAGCCTTTTTAGTCACTGATTTCCTAAATTGTATTGATTATAAGTGGTATCCTTCCACCAAACCTTACGGTCACACATCTTCTTGGAAAGTTCTAGGAATATTTTCAAAAGCTGAGCTTTTTTTCATTCAGTTCATTAGCCTTCAAAGTAACACAATTCATAGTTTGTCTTTAGATCTCGAAACTTTACGATGCTGGAAAAACACCCAAACACCAGTTTCTTTTTCACCAAAGTTGATCTGAAAAATTATTAACACGAAAAGATGTCAGAAATTGATGAACAAGACAACATATTCAAGGCATAACCATGGATGAAGCTGAATTAAATGCTATCAGAGCTGCTCGTTTACAAGAGCTACAAAGAAATGCCGGTCAAGGTAGTAGCCAGGGGCAATCGTCTGGTCAATCACAGTAAGTGTTTATAGGCGCCATTGATGTGGAAGTTGAAACTAATTATTTTGAAGAGAAGCGCAAGGCCTTTCAGCTGCCCTAGATCAAGTATTAGAACCAGAAGCTAGAGCTAGATTATCCAGAGTGAATCTAGTAAGACCTGATAGAGCTAAAGCTGTTGAACAATACATCATAAGATTGGCACAATCTGGTCAAGTGAGAAGAAAGTTGGGCGAAGATGATATAGTGGAGATTTTAAACGGTATTGCAAGAGACCAACAAAAGCAAAATGAAACCAAGATAGTGGTATGTAACAGAAGCTTTCATAGAATATTGTACTAACAAAAGTTTTATTTTAGTTTTCAAGAAAACAAACTGCTAATGAAAGTGAGGATGATGATGATTTTTTTGACTGAACAAAACACAACGAAGACTTAGAGAAAGAGCAGAATACTCCAACGGTTGACTCCTGAAACCTTCTTTTGTGTCAATGGTATTCCATGACGGCTGTAATTTCAATATCCACGATAATAATGACTACTAACATTTGTAGAGCTTGTCTTAGAGCTTCCGAATAAGGAAACTCCAAGAAGCAATCGAGAAGCGTAAAATGAAACCTCACTTTTTAACCTCCAACAATCTGCCAGTACAATAGAAATGTAGACAAAACCTAGATCCAAGTTTTCAACCTTCCTTATCAAGTCGATCCAATTTAATTTGGCGATAGATTCCGTTTTCTAAGCGCAATCTCCACTATCTATTGGCCCACATAAGGGACACAACCTCAGCGAACAAATTCGCGTACGTACATTCGGCTCGCATTATCATCGGCTGCTGTCCTAATTGGGACGCTCCAAGCGGTTTCCTACTTGAGAAGTAGTTGATGGGTACACAAATCTATTTGATCCTGGTGTGTATAAATAATCATCAAAGTCCTTCTCCAAAGTAATTTTCTTCATGATCCAATAATTACCTTCGTTAGGCACTTACAAAAAGAAAATGGCTGCTTTACATCCTTTTGATCCAATCACTGAAGCTGAAATCAGACTAGCTACAAAGTTAGTCAAAGACTTGAACGGTAGTAACTATGTTCATTTCACCCAACTTGATAGAGTTGATCCTCCAAAGAAAGAAACCTTGAAATATTTAGATATTGAAAGATATGGTGGTGGTGAATTACCAGATATCCCAAGAAGAGTTTATGCTTACTATTATCTAAATGATCAAATGCCAGTTTACAAGGCATTGGTTAATGTTTCATATGGTCATATTATCACTAATCAAGCTATTGGTGACGGTGCTTGTGGTCCTCAATTACCAGATGACTTAAAAGATATGGAAGCTGTCTTGTATGACCATCCAGCAGTTCAAGCAGAAATTAAAAAATTGAGATTACCAAGTCATATTCACGTCTGTTGTGATACATGGATGTATGGTACTGATAGTGATGATGTTGAAGTCCCATTAATTCAAGGTTACATGTATTTGAAAGTTGATCATCCAGATGCAAACCATTATTCCATCCCATTATCATTTTCTCCAGTTTTTGAGCTATTAAGTAAAAAATTCGTTAGAATGGATTTCTTACCAGCTGGTTTTGATGAGAAAACTATTGGTACTCAACCATGGTTAGAAGTTAAAGCTGTTGAATATCATCCAGATTTGAATGGTGAATCCACTTTGAGAGACATCAAACCATTAATTGTTCAACAACCAGAAGGTGCCTCATTCACCATTGAAGGTAGTAAAGTCAAATGGCAAGGTTGGGAATTCAGAGTTGCAACTAATGCAAGAGAAGGTGTTGTTCTATATGATGTTCACTTCAAAGGACGTTCTTTATTCTACAGAATTGCATTGAATGAAATGACTGTTCCTTATGGTGACCCAAGAGCTCCATACCATCGTAAACAAGCTTTTGATTTAGGTGATTGTGGGTTTGGTGTCAATGCTAATCAATTATCATTAGGTTGTGACTGTCTTGGTGTTATCAAATATTTGGATACTTTAAGAGTCAACAGAGATGGTGAACCAGTCCTATTGAACAACACTGTTTGTATTCATGAACAAGATTATGGTATCTTATTTAAGCATATGAATTACAGAAATGGTAACTCAATTGTCACCAGAAGAAGAGAATTTGTTATCCAAACTATTGCTACTGTTGGTAATTATGAATACATTATTAACTTTGTTCTTGATCAAGTTGGAGCTATTACTGTCCAAGTTAGAGCTACTGGTATTTTAAGTACTATGCCAATTGAACCAGGTGTGGTTGTTCCATGGGGTACAAACATTGGTGATGGTGTTATGGCTGCTAACCATCAACATTTACTTTCATTCCGTTTTGATTGTAGATTGGATGGTGAACAAAACACTGCTTGTTATGATGATTATGTTCCAATGGAAGAAAATACAAGTTTGAATCCATATAATGTTGGTTATGTTGGTAAGAGAACTATCCTTGAAAAATCTGGTCATATTGAACAATCACCATTCACTAATAGAACTTACAAAGTTATTAATGAAAATGTTATTAACAGAGTCACTCAAAAACCAGTTGGTTATAAATTTGAAATGCCAGCTAGACAGATGATGATTGCTTCACCAAACTCTTACAATACTAAAAGAGCCAAATTTGCTACTAAACAATTTTGGGTCACTAAATATCAAGACGATCAATTATATGCTGCTGGTGAATTCACTAATCAAAGTCGTACAGATACTGGTTTATCTAAATGGGCTAATGGTGAAGATTCAGTTAGAAATACCAATGTTGTTGTTTGGCCTACTTTAGCTTTAACACATCCACCAAGCACTGAGCAATTCCCAGTTATGCCATCAGATTTCATGCAATTCTTGGTTTCTCCATCTTCATTCTTTGAAAGAAATCCAGCTCTTGATGTTCCATTAGCTACCAACAGTTTCAACAAATCTAAATATTATGAACAAGGTGCTCAAGAACAAGATAAATCCTGTTGCAAAACCAACCTATGATTAAGTTTCCTTTTTATCTGCACTTTCAATTCTTTCTGTATCTCATATTATTTATAGACTTCATATTCCAATATACTGATTAATTTTGTGATTTAATGTAGACAGCAATAATATCAAGCTGACTGACTCTTCCTTATACAGAATTTTCAATCTTGACAATAAGCTAGGCCAGCCTTCAGGTCTGAGCTATGCTAGCTAGCTAGCTTATTTAGAACAAAGCCAATCTTCATCCCAAAATAAGTCTGTGTAGTTCCACTTATCGTAAGTTATCAACAGATTTTGCACTCTGGCGAGCAGAGTACCGTTTTGGGAAATGACAGAATATCCTCTACTGTGTGTATATAAGGTAATTCCGATGTTCTATTAATATACATATAATGTTACAATTAGTGGATTCTTGATTCTTCTTATAGTTGATGTGAAATGTTGAGTATTGATGAATTGTGCATAATTGGTTATTCTGGTTATGTAATACCTGACATTCCCCCCCTCATTTCTGAGTATTTATTGAATGTAATAATATTAAATATGATGAAACTTGATTTGGAACTATATTGTGTTGTCTTTTGTTAACCGTGTTCAATTGGTTGTGATTGAATATGAAAGAATGAGTGAAGTACCTATAGATTTAAAAAGAATGATTCTTGAATGGTGTGGAGGTT